CTATTTCTTCCTACATATCGATGCACGTAAAGTTATCAATGTATCAATTTTGTAACTTTATTTTGTAACTAATAAACCACTTTTTTATATCGGGACTTTGAATTTCAGAGGTGTCGAGGATATAAACATGGACAATATGGAAAAGAATGCATTCGACGTGTTTCCAAATCTTGATTTCGTGTGCGTTCCTACTATAATTATTTAAAACACGTGCAATGACTATTTAAAATTAAAATTATTAAAGAACAGAAAACTTTTCTATCTTCATATGAAGCATTATTTCGACAACATTTTTATATTAAATTAGCATTAGCATAGACGAAAAATAGAAAGTTTAGCTGAGAATATATGTATAATTAAAGATACATATAATGAATTAATTAATAATTCTTATTTATATATGTCTTCACTATTTAATACAAATTCCATCAAAATCAATCGTGATATAATATTCTAAATTTTTTAGATACTTCAAAAAATTCCACTACTGCATGACCTACGCACCAAAGGTACAAAAATGCAGACCCATTAGCGATGGTAAGATATATCGCGATTGTATAAAAAATTTCTGAATTGTAACAACGATTGATTAATTCGGCATTAAATCAAATGCAATAAAACACAAAAAATGATCTCAATGTGCCTCTTCTTTTTCCACCGTCTCTTTCTTTCTTTTTTCTTCAAGGTGTGTCGTCGACGTCCCATTTGCTGAGCAAATCTCTATTAAGAGCTGCTGTTTGGAGCATATCTTGTGTCACTTGTCTCGGTAATAGTCTTGTTCTGTGGGGAAGATTCACCGCCAAGGATGAAAACCGTGTTTTAAGTATTATTATCAGAAATCTTGCAGGTAATTGTGCAAATATGTTCTTGGATGAGAAATTTGACGAGGAAATAAAATTATTCTTCTTTCGCTCTTCGAAATCCAGAAAAATAAAATGATGACATAAAAATATAAAAATGGGGAGAAAATAATTTGTTTTTGATCTTGACATCTCTTTTGGTTCTGAATGTTGATTGTACTTTCGATGATACATATGTTTCGTTTGCTGAAATTTTCGTAAAAATCTGAAAGCTAGACACAAGAGAGTTGCTCTTTAGATATCGCATAAACCGTTATAGAAGAGATAACGGCGACGTAAATAATCCCTATTCAAATGACTCGTAGTAGATTCGTACCGAATCACGAAGTGCACGCGAGTTATCATCGTTGCGGTTAACAACAAAGCACAACACTATGATCGATAGAGCATATTAATGTTGTGTTCACCATAAATCACCAGGCGGTAAAATCACGTAATCCTTTTACAGTGTCCGACATGTTGATGGGAATATATCTCTTCATAATCGCCATAGAAGACGCAAGGTTCCGCGATAACTACCAACAGGAGGCGAGTACGTGGATGTCCTCATGGTCCTGTACGCTTCTAGGAGTGTTGGCGATGATGTCATCCGAGGTATGTGCATTAACACCATAAATCCCACAATTTTCTATTTGCAACGTACAATTTGCTATTTATCATTATAAATGACCGTCTATGCTACTACCGAATAAAATCTAGCCGCTATGATAAAAAATCAACGTATATTATTTACAATTTTGTTTTGCTTAGATGTAATTAACTGCACCTGTGTGATTTCGTCGACTAAATGAATGTCAATTGAAAACCGTTTTCATGTTTTCTGCAAATAATTTAAATTTAGATCTTTGAAATATTTTTAATTAATTTCCTTTACTAGATTCTAATTTTTCCGAATAGTGGAGAGAAGTTCATATATATATACGGTTAAATATATAAGTTTTAGCGAGGGTGCAGATGTTTAAAACATCGGTGATACCACAAATTTAAATATACGATCTCTTAAATTGCTCGGTAAGGTTTCTGTGCTCATCCTGTCATTCATGTCCGTGGAGCGATTTATTTTGATCGCAGCACCTTTGAAAGGCCACCGCGCCATGACATTTCAAGCTGCATCCTCGTCAATGATTGTCATCTGGATTATCGGATTTATCCTTGCTCTTATGCCAGGTTTGTTTCTGTATGAGGACAATCTTTTTGATTTATTATTTATTCAATATAATTTTTTGATTTATTGTTTATTCAATATAATTTTTTGATTTATTGTTTATTCAATATAATTTTTTGATTTATTGTTTATTCAATATAATTTTTTGATTTATTGTTTATTCAATATAATTTGATATTTCTCATGCACATACATAGAATTTTCTTCATTATTTCAAGTGAGATATGTTTGTGCCTGTAATTGCACCGTTTGAAGAAATCTTAAGAACTTTTCAAGAAAAAATAGCAGAATTTTTTTTTCTATTATCATTGATTCTGACGGATTAATTATCTTTTCCGAATCTGAAAGTTATCCACTGGAGAAGCAGCACGAGATATTACGGTGTCAATGGAATGTGCTTTCCTCTACACATAGACGATCCATATCTAATAGGCTGGGAATACTCGGCCTTTATCTTCCTGGGACTTAATCTCCTCGGGTAAAATGCGTGTTATTGCAACAACCTTGTAAATTGAATGTAGTTATGCGATATGTGGAGCCAGCTGTTTCGCGTTCAAAGTTGCAATTCAAGATTGCAATTCACTTTAATTATCGATGATACAACGTTAGAGCGCAACATTTTATTCGTAATATCTTTCTAAAAAGAAAATTGTATCCAAATAATTTTTTTCAAGATAGTTCTATATCGCGTATTGTTACATATAATTATTGGTATTTGAATTTTTTAGCAAGTTCGATTATGTAGGAATGATATAATGTAGTGTTGTACAAAAAAATTTAATCAACGTGTACCGCGCGAGCTTGATCGATTCTCTCATTTCTTCATTGCCTTGATATTGCATCGGAACGTTCGAACCTATCATTGCATTCATTTGCAGATTGATGATTATCGGTTACGTTTACGCTGCTATGTTCGCCAGCATTTGGAGAACGCGCCACGCCACACCGTTATCGGTCGGCGATTCCGAGTTTGCTCTCAGATTTTTCCTAATCGTATTGACAAATGCGGCGTGTTGGGCGCCGATCATAGGGTTGAAAATTCTCGCCATGATGAACTATCCTGTGCCACGTAAGTAGAAACAGTGATGCGAGTTTTCACATCACCATCGATTCGTTTCATTCGTGATATTGCCTTCATTAAACAATGATTGCTCAATCAAAAAGAAACTTTTTCTCTTACAATAAAAATTTTTTTATACTTTTATATATTATAAAAGACACAAATAAGTTAAATATATATACAGGGTGTCTATTCGAATCTTCTAAAAAATTCCTTGAGCTACCAGGTTTTTTTTTACAAAATTTCAGGTAAAAAGAATATTTTAAAGATTTTTTTATGCAATTTTCTAAAATAAGTTTTCTTTTTTATTTTTATGTATGCGTTTTCTTATGTTTTTCATTTATACGAAGGAGAAACATCGAGCCTCTTAAATTTCAAATGCTAGATTTGTAAATGGACTGAAAAAAACTGAATAACTTTCATAAGATAGAAACATAGCATAGTTTTAAAATTAAAATGATATATATTAATGACTGAATATAAAATTTATAGCTGATTTGCACGCTTGGGTAGTGATCTTTATTCTGCCAGTAAATAGCGCGATTAACCCGCTGTTATATACTTTTACCACGCCGAAATTTCGTGAGAGGTTCAACGAGAGTTGGTTCGGAAGAATGCGCATATATATGTCCAGGAAATATTCCAGACAAGGTTTGTGTATTTTGACATAAACAATTACCCGAATTCTTTGCTATTGAGAGAGCTGACAAAACGTTCGTTGCTTTTATCGCAGATTCGCAGGCATCGACCTGCCAACAAAAGACCATTAACAAAACTACAATTACTGATGAAAACGCGATATAATTATTACCCATCTGGACCAAACATGATAGTGACAGAAGAAGAATACCACCGTTCGTTGATTTTAGCAATGAAAAGATTCTATTGGAAAAGTAGAGTCAAAAATTAATGAACTCGTCTAATAGTTATATATTGCGCTTCTTAAATGTTACATTAATCACTACCGCCCATATTTGTTTGTATGTATTATAGATTGTAGTTACAAATGAGAACTCTAGAGAAATTTTTATGTTTTATACAGTATGTTTGGTTTAAATGTATACATTCAGTTTTTCTTTAAATAATAGTTATATAAAGAATGTTTCAGATAAATGTTATTTTGTTTAAGAAGATCTATATAATGACTTAAACGAAAATTTTAAATTGTTTTTTAAAAATGTTATCCGTAATAATTTTATTTTTTTAAACGGAATAATAATAATATATCTATTTTACTTTTAAATGGAATAATATATTAATTTTATTTTTGTAAGTTCGATAATGTACAATAAAGTGAAATTTTCAATAATCGTAAGATATTGTCACTTGTATTGCTTTTACGCATGAAGGAAAAAAACAAAATATCTCCAATAAAAACTGTTATGGACAATATTTTAAAAATAATTTAAAATTTTCGTTTAAGTCATTAATAGATCTTCTTAAACAAAATAACATTTATTTGGAACATTTTTTTTATATATAACTCTATTATTTAAAAAAATAACTGAGTATACACTTAAACCAAACACACTGTATATCAACTATATATACATACAATAGATTAACTTAGAATTAAAATATGATTAAAATAAAATTCTCTTGTCTGGTAACCTTTAAGAAAGAAAAATGTTTGTGTATAATTTGAATTAAATCAATTTAAATCATGAATGTCACACCGCAGAAATTTCTTTATTATAGCAGAAGAAATTATTAATATGCATTGTCGCGGAAAATATTTTTATCTATACTTTATAAAATCTGCTTTATATGATGATGCTGTTGCGTTTAAAAGATAGTATACTGCTTTTGTTCTGCGAATATACCGTTTTGCTTCATTAGAAGCAACTTGGCAAGTATGTCTATTCTCTTTGGCCTAGATAAGTGTATGATATAAAAAAAAGAGATACACACCTTTAGAGCCATCCACTCTGTTTCGCGCATCGGTGATCCTGATGCGGATATTTCGATTGCACGTACTCCGATGACCCCCCCCGATGGAGTATCCTCCACCCACCAGCTGAGATCGTGCTCGAAAAGGTACATAAATTATTTTCCGACGAAGTCGACAGAAAACGCGACTGCGCCCGAAAAATTTACGACATTGATTCTGATGTACCGGCAAATCATGTTCCACGATGTTGGCACCGTTATGCCGGGTCAGCGCCACTTGTTCCGTATTATTATATTGCGAGATGAGAAATTTATCTTCCGACACGCGGGCGTGACTTTTTAACGACTCCACACCGCTGTACACTCTAAAACAAGCAGTACATCACTCAAATATATTCGATTAGTTGGTGCAAGAGTCGACGTGGCCATCCCTGGACATGACTTACGAAGCGATAATAAATGATAAAGACGAAGAAACAAAGATAAAAAATTACTGACAATTAATTCCTATCTTTGAGAACATACGTATACGTGTTCTTCTCTCTTTTACATATCTCTGCTTTTATATATCAGATTATTGTAGTTGTGGGATGATTCGTACGACAAATCAACAAAGTTCCTCTTTTAAGCAAATAATAATATACAATAATTATATAGAAAACAATATTTAAATAGATATTATAAATATCGTATATATGTCAAATTTTTAATATTATATAGATCAATTTTATATATATAGAAAAAGTAAAAGCGATGGGGAAGGGGGATTGATAAAAACACGTGTCTGCAACATTCTAATTTAAATGAAAAGCGTGATGCATATATAACTTGCAAAATATTTCCGTAAAGAGCAAGATGGAAGATGGATAGCGTAAAGTTAAAATACTTCGTGTTGTTCGTCTTTTTTTTTTTTTTTTTTTTTTTTTACGAGTGAACTCTTCAATCGAAATCCGTTAAAACACGCAGAGGTACAAACAACGAGAGATACGCAACGATATCCGACTTCCGACTCTCAGATGGTTACAGTCAACCGTAAATCATGCGAACGGCCAAGAAAAATGCATCTCGCGAGCACTCTACGATCTACCGGCACGTGGGTTGGCTCTTACGCGATATAATGTGTAATTTATGGCGGATGGCCAATGGTGAGGTCCCGTTAAGGGGCCTCGATACTTCGCCCGAGACAGACCGCCTTTTAGAACTGACTTTTCTTCCGCCTTAAGCTGCTAAGATTTCTTCGGCTACAATACAATTACGTCACGACGTGGGCGGATATGCGTTATGCGATCGTCCACGAAATATCGGGACGAAATAAATGTCCCGGAATAAAAAAAAAGAAAAAAAAAGCGAACAGATACATCGCTGCAACAGGATGCGGGTAGGTAGGTAAGGCAAACGGGTGTGACGCATTTGGTGCATACATTGCAGAATTATCGAGTCATGTCCGAAACAAAAATTGCCCTTCATTATAGATATTGAAGAGTCTCCTTTTATTCAAGAAAGAAGACAAACATTTATAGCTCTCGATTTTTTTTGCAGAAACATATTAAATGGCATTAGTCTTCTATGAAACATCATGAGAAATTTATTAATGTATATTAATGTAATAATTAATATTATGATACGTTGCTAATGTAAATGTTCATAAGAATATCGTATTTCTCGGAAATAATTAATAAATTTCTAAAAGATTATAATTTAAATTAAATTCCAGATTATTATCATGTCAATAAGCATTTCTCATTTGATATACGTGACAAAGAGAGTTTTCCAAGACGCAATAACGGAATGCCGGGACGCTGGCCGGAAGGCGGGAAACGTGAAGGAATTTACAATGAACGTACAACAACTATACATATAGTGTGACGCATAGCATAGATTGCTATAGGTGTTGTAGCTCTTGGCGATAAAAGAACATTTTGCACGCATGTTACACAAAGCGAAAGCGAACAACAAGATCACAACCTTCCGAAGGCCTTCGCGAGAATTGCTCCGAGTGAGTATCTATCAGTAGCATGGAATGCAAGAAAGGATTAAAAGGTCACATGCCATTGCCTTTTTAAATAATCTTTATTCTATTGAAGCAAGCTCTTGACTCTTTATATTTTGATTCTATATCTAGACTTTTCAATACCTATGACGAAAAACAATTTTTGCTTCAGACATGACTCGATAACTCAGCAATATATTCCGTCAAAAAAATGTGTCACATTTATTTGATTCGGAAAAGGACAAAATATCTCGAAAAATATTTAACAAATAAAAAAAATATATATATATATGTCTGTTTATAAATAATTATTCAATATATCACATTAATTTATCGTATTAAATTCTTATAACAGATATGGAGAGAAAAATTGATCAAAGGTATATAGCTGCCCATGGACTCCAACAATGGAAAGGTCTTGAAAACGTTAATAAAGTCTCGAACGCACACAGATCACTGGCCAATCTACGAAATTGGCCGGCGAGATTCGCAAAGAGTTAAAGACGGCCATCAGACGATCTCCGGCGCGAAATCGATGCGAAAGAGCCGCCCGCGCCACGGATCTTCTCCTTCCCACAATTATAGGGTATAAAAATTCTTTCGGATTTCAGTCACGCGAGTAAAGGCTGCATTCGGTCCACGGGAAGAAGATTTACGTGCGAGGCGGTAATTGGCGCTGGTTCGAATCCTTACAGCGTGAGCAAGAGATCTTCGGTTATTCAGTCTTTTGCGATAAGAAAATATAGAGTGCCACGTGTGGAGAAATCCAAGAATGTTTAGTACACCATTGTGACTATAATATACGTATTTACGCTTCAATGCGATCATCGGTAGCGGTATGTAACAGTGAAAGCTGATTGTAGGGTGTTTCTTTTATCGTAACCCCGGCTACATTGTGTAACATCTTATATGCATACATCTAATATCGTATATAATCGTAAATATTCTAAAATATATACCAGAAAAAGAGAGAGAGAGAGAGAGAGAGGGGGGGATGTCTACTGAGAGGCTGTAAAAAAATTCTCTATCCTTTCAGGTATTTTTGTTTAAAATTCCAGGTAAAAAGAATATTTTAAAGATTTTTTATTCAACTTTCTAAAATAAGTTTATTTTTATTGTATGCGGTTTTCTCTAATATTTTTCTAATATTTATAATATATTTTAAACACATAGTATTCACAACTAATTAGCAGATTGCCGACTGCTTACAATATAAAAGCAAAATTATTAAAGAGAGAATTTTTTTTAAAAATTCCCCGGCTCTCAATAAAATTCGATGAGAATTCTCTGATTTCTTCAGGTATAAAAGGAATTTATGAGAATTCCAGATTTTCCATGTTTTTCCAGGAAGTAGACATCCTGAATACGCATTATATTTAAAATACGAGAAATATTATAATTGACCCAAACTATCGATATATTAATAATCATCACACATATCGTCAAAATTAAAAATTATTAAGATGAGAATACATAATAGAATTTTTTGCGATTATTCCCAACACCACTTGAATAATTATACAATCTTAATTTGTCTTTATATATATCTTGCAGCTTTCACCTTACTTCTCGCTTAATTTTCCCTATGCAGACAAGTTTTCAATATCTCGGAATTTCATTATTGACGTAACATATATCTTATGCTGCGTAAGATTTATATAAAAGGAAACCCTGAGAGATAGATAAAAAAATAAATTATCTATATCCAATCATCTATATGCACTCGCGCATATTCATTTCTATTTCTCGCAAGAATATACCGCGTTGATTTATAAATACGAATCGGAAGCGCATTCTAATAAGACCGGCCACGATGATTATTATCGATGATCGACGATGCGCTTCTGTCGATCATCTCGATTACCGTACAAAAAATCGTTCAAGACCACAGCAATAGTGTGCGTGATGAGACCAGTATACACGTATTCACCTATTATATTCTATTATATGAATTACGTTCATTACGCTCGAAGATAGCCGACACGAATGACGGGAGATCGATGAGAGAAATAGACATAATAATACTATCATCGATAACTAATATGCATGCAATAATTATATACCCACTCTGTGAAAGTGTATAATAATAATAAGTCGCCAAATAATTAGACCACACTAATATCTGTTAGCAGGATACGATAATAAATCATACACAAATAATCCGACTAATATTATCAGTAATATTATTCATTGTGTTTCAGAAATCAATTTTTTTTTTTATATATATTAAGGAATTAATTTTTTTTATTAATTTTTCATAGGGTAAAAAAAAGATAAAAGAAATAGAGAAAGAAGCGATAAATCGCAAGCGCAAAATGTGAAAGAAATTGCGAGATCATCCGATACTGTCTGCGAAATAAAATCCACCCAAAATGAAGCGAAATTTACGCCGACATCGCGTGCGAGCGCACAGATGCGACTCAACGGCGAAAAGCATTGGAAGAAGTGAAAACAAAGAGAAGCGGGACACACGGAGAGAGGAAGTAAAAAAGCATTGTTTGACACGCGTGCTCTCCCTCGCGCCGACATATTAAATAACACGACAGCTGCGGAATACGCGGCACCGATTCGCGCGCCTGGCTCTTCTTTCTTTCGTTGTTTGCAAATTATTAACCTTGCAGCCTCCCCAAAGGACCATTGCACATTTCTTGTTCTGTTCCCAGAAGTTTCAAGAATACTTTTTCATCTGATTTTTATGTCTCTCTACAAATTCTATAAAATAACTACAGCATTAAAAATAACAATAATAAAAATAATCTTTATAATTAATAATTTTCAAAATTTTTTTTTTCTCTAAATAAATGACGAAACGCAAAAGTAAATATCAATCAAGATTTTCTAACATTTTTACCACACGCAGTTACTATAATGGAATCTCGTTGCGCTTTTATCCATCGTGACAAGATGCGAAGCGATACCGTACGTCGAGAGAATCCGGACCTAAAAAGGTCCAGCACTCTCAAAGAGATCGAAGAGCGATGACGCGAGCCACCGGAATGTGCCACATGTGTATTCGTGAGGGATGCATCTGAGTCGAGTGTATCGTGTGGCATCGCGTCGCGGTGTCACATCGCCATACCTGCCAATTACAAAACCGTTTCTGCGGTCGGCTTCCCGGCAATGAGCAACATGTCACGGCTACAC